GAGGAGGCTCGTCGTTAACGTTCCCCTGCTCCCCCAGCCCATCCCCTCCCCGCCAGGGCTGGTCCCCAGGGCCATGGCGTCGCAGGGTGAGGAGAGGCGGGGGGGGGGGTTTACCCTGAGGTAGACCCACACAGGCCCGAGCTGCAGCTTGCCCGCGGTTATGGTCGTCAGGGCTGCTGCCAGTCAGGCTGCCCCTGAGGAAAGCCTGGAGTGGGGTTAGCACAAAGGTGTTAAAAATGGCCCACGGTACGTTTCACGGCAAGGTAGTCCCATCGGCATCAATGGCCGGCAAGGCTGCGTGTGGTTAACTTGGGGTTTTCTCCACAAGCTCCTCGCAGAGGGCAGAGCTCAGAGCCCAGCCCCACACCTCCCCTCATGCTTGAAAGGGGGGAGCAGCCCCAGAGGGACCCAAGGAACCACAGCACCCGATAAGTGAGGGGAACATAAAAATATGAGATCAGGCGTTAGCTGTACCACGCTCTAGCGCTCACAGTATTTGGATGGTAGTTTTATGTTCCTTGTAGACCCCAGTACCTGGAGGTTCTTAAAAAAGTTAACCATCAGCTACTGGCAGTGCACGGAATCCTCCTCTTCCCACCAGTTCATTTTTTAAGCCTACGCTTCCTTCCAGTTTCCCCCACAGAAGATAGAGCAGTACCACGCTACTACAGCAAACAAATTTCGGACAGAGTGTGGGGGACATGCTCCTGCCAGGGGACCTGACTTGGCTGCAGTTTCCCCCTTCTCCTGCCAAGGCAGCAGGGATGCCACAAGTGTGGTGAGTACCTGTACCCGTGTCTCCAGCAGTCACCATCACCACACAACAGATAACGCTTTCCAAAGCGGCTGCAGTTAGAGGACCATGGAAGCCTGCCAGGACAAAGAACGATCAGGAGCATTTTTTAATTTATGCTCAATTAAACTGTGCAGACCATAGATTCTGTACACTTGCTGGGAAGCGAGATGGGAATTCCCAAAATAGAAGAAAAATCCTTGCGTTTTTGTTTTGGGGTTTTTTGTTGGTTTTTTTTTTTTTTACAACATTGTTATTCTTGCTTCCCGATTCCTTATCCACAAAACACTTGTTTTACCAAATCGCATATTGGATATTTACTCCAGAATTTTACCACATCAATGTACACAAGTATGTACAGGAAACGAAGCATCATCCTATTAATAATCTCTACCATTAAAACAAACAATCCCTTCATATCCAAAGCCACACACCAGCTCACTTTATAGCACGGTAATTTTCCTAGCAGAGCTTTATGTTGAGATCTGTAAGCCCCAAATTATGAAGTGTCTAATTTGCAGAGAAATTCTAATTCATCCTAAATAAACACTAAAACTCTGAACAGTACACTGAAACCTATGTAGGAAAACAAAGTTTGTTTTCCAAAGTCCAAACAACAACAAAACCAATATACTAAGGAAGTTGTGGCAATAGGTTCTTTCAGTTTAAATACACAACTCTTCCTCAATCCCACCCACTCGCCCGAAATTCTTCTCATCACAATATAGAGTGAGAAGTGGAAGGACATTTTCAATGAAATTTAAATACCTGAATTTGAAAGTGTTTAATGTTAACACTACCCTTAAAATAAACTTAAAGAGGGCAGATCATGCAACTGCTGCTTAATTTCACGGCTTTTTTTCCCCAACATCTTAAATGCCTGTATGTTTTCTTCATTTACTTCATCTGCATTTGTTTATGAAAACCTGTGTTTTAATTTATTTCTCTGGTTTGCTAAGTTAATGCTCACACAGCTTGCTATAAACACCTCCAATATGATAAATGACATGGCTCTTCTAACAATTTGGGGTTTATTCATTAAATGTGCAGACAATTCCAGTAGCCAGTCGCTATTTGGATTTTAGTACCGTGGAAATCTAACATAAGTTATGCCCCAAAAAGAGAGAGATTTTTGGGAATCTTCGGGTTTTTTTAATTTAACATCACATATGCCTTTCACTAGGGCCTAGAAGCAAATATTTTGAAGACAAGAATATCAAATTAGTATTTTCCCCATTTCTTTGTAGTGAAAAATAGGCTTTAGAAAATAAAAGGCTTAGCATAATGGAACATAAATACGAATTCCTGCACAACAATTAGGTGTGGAAACCTGCTTCAGATAAAAATAATTAAAGGAAAACAGTCAACACTTTCATCTGAAAAGATATTTATTTTGAGAACTTCAACTTGCACATTGTACAAAAAAATTGACAAATTCAGCAAAAAAAACTATAAAATGTTTTTTTTTCCTTCCCTAACATATTAACATTATAATTTTAAAAAGGGTAAGAGTTAAGAAAACCAAAAATAGGCACATTTGTTCCAGTCTGTCTGCAGTAAAGTGTGATTAAAAACATCCCTGTCTTGTTGAGGTATTAAACTGCAAACTTTGGTAATGTTAGAAAAAGACAACCCATTCACAAAAGTAAGCCTTCTTGGTGTCATGTACAATAAACAAAATGTTTCATAAAAAGAGTCAGAGTTGGTTATTCTCCACTTCCAGGTAGAAATGCAGTGAAACAAAGAAAAAAAAAAAAAAAAGTCATGTTACCATAATACACCTACCATTAGGAGGAAACCTGAAAGTTTGCAAATCCATGCTAGTCATGTATAGCTACAGTGTTATATTTTACCCAAAGAATAAAATCCGGTTGGCAAGTTTAAACAATTCAGTGCTTATGAAAAATATATATATATGGTGATTCAGAGCCCAGTCTTTCAGAAAAGGACAAAAGGCACTTAAGAATGGCTTTAGTATATTCCACAATGGCATTTCTGGATAGAAGACAGCACCTGGCTGAACAAATAGTTCCCTAGTAAGAAAGAAGTCCAACTGAGGTAGTACTTCATATTGCTCCAACTACTTGGCTATACACAAGCAGCTTTTTTTTTTTTTTTTTTGATATACAAAATTAGCAGGAAATGGCTTTTGACAGGTTTGTCAAATGTATAAAAACCAGTTCTTTAAAAAAATAGCAAATACCCACTTGTGGTAAAGAGATCATTAGCCAGGAACCATCTTGTACAAAATGCTGCCAAGGTGATGCAGGAGTCTACCTTTATGGCCAAATCCCCAAACATTGAAGATTGTTCTAGCAACCAAGCCATTTTTTGGAATAATAAAAAAAAAATAATCAAAAATAATAAAAAAAGAGGGGGCACAGGGGGCACTCTGAGAACTTTAATAATCATTAGCAGCCTTACCGGAAGCACTTTGTAAGTCCATTAAAAGAAAATAATTCTGTGCTGATGAATGGCAGTTGGGGGGG